ATATATATATATATATATATATATATATATATATATAACGCAAATTTTAATCGAAGGACTCGAGATAATATTCCTAGCTCCCTCCTAGATCCACCCCTGACGATGCAAATACGAGATTTAGTCTAATTAATTGGGAGCATAAAAATATGTATTTCTTATGTTCAATGGGTGTTAAAAGGGGTTAATTAACTAATTAATTAAATTCCTACTCACCATCTCATTTGATGCGAAAGTATTTGGCTAGACATAATGACAAAATAATTATATAGCGACAATAATATAATAAATTGGCCCTAATTTGAGTATTTATGTTAAAGTTGCACTGTCAAATCATTCTAGTCTAAGAAATATTTGAAATTGATTAAGTTGGTAATATTACAATAAAATTATCTGAAAATACAATTATACTATTCAACACACAAATAATTAAAAATAACCAATTTTTCTAGTTTAAACATTCCCCCCTAATTAATTATTAACTATATTATAGTTTCTTTCATTGTAGTACAAATTAAAACAACTACCAATGAACCAAATTAAAGAATATCAGGCCAAAATACATTGGCAAAACTCGATTAGTGTCGAAATTAAAAAAAAAAATTAAAAGGTGTTCAAAAGTATTTAAATATTGAAGTATACATATAAATAACAAAAAATTAGCATTAATTTAAAATATTTGACCATCTCTTCCATCTTAGTGTGTGCTGCATGAATATTTTTATCATCACTTTACTATAAAGTGAGTTGAGGGATCGAATATATGAATACATATCTCAAGTTCTTGTCCATCTTTAGCTTTTATTCCAAAAAAAATATGATAATTAAGTTCTTCTCATGGTTATTTCTTTATATTCTTTTCCTCACTATCCGGAGAAAAAGATAAGATATTATATTCCTTCGAGAAGTAACGAACTCAGAATTTAGATTTTATAAATTTTATATTTTTTATATATATAGTATGTGTTAATTCTTTTCTCACACATGATATTCATTCACGTTTATTCTGGCTTATAAAGTGATTTCGGATGCTCCTTGTCCTAAGCCATTACCTTTATGAGTGTATATTGCTTATTTTTTGTGTCAATTCTTACGCAAATTATAAAGCTAGTATGCTTAATATAGTTACTACCTTATGCCTCAATTAGCAGTCATAAGGTCAACATGTGCTCTTCGATCTGAAATAATTTTATTTAAAGGAGAGTAAAAAAGTTACTTAACTGTAAGGAGAGGAGCTCTAACCTCTCTACTATTGAACACCGTGACATCCTTCCATCCCTCATTCAATATTAAACCTTTGCTTTCAATGCCTTGAAGACTCAACAACAATTCAGAGTTCATGATTATTGACTAATTAGTCATTGTTTTCTAAGGATCGAAATAAGAGGTTTTGGCTTTTCGGAATATTTAATATGACTAACAAAAGAAATTTGTTCTTTAAAAAATTATATAATTAATAACATGTAAGATTTTGAAAATAAATTTTTTATCACAATTCATGTTGGAACTTCAATACGTAGTAAAGTTTTTGATGAGTAACTTATGCATATAATAAGAAAGATGGTCAGTCTATAAGTTCAAATGACTTTTTGTAACTCGAAAATATAAAGTCGAAATAGCTAGTAATCATATATCAAAACATGTAGTAAATGTCTTGGGCCCTAAATGCATAGCCCATCACACTTCAAAAATTGATTTTCCTTGTATCGCATCAATGATTAGTCAAGACTCTTTTGGCACTCTTCCATGAAAATTGATTAAAAAAATAGGATAAATTACTTATATACATACCTTTATTTTTTATAATTTCTATTATTACCTTCCATTTTAAAATATCTCCAAAATTCCTCTTTTTCCTCCCAAACCTCACTTTTCAGATACAGAAAGTTTCAATATTCAAAACACACGTTTTTATTCCTAATTTCACTCTCTTAATCTCTCCCTACTTGACTTTCTCAATCCATTCCTATTTTCACTCCCTCAATCTTTACTTCCTTTCTTTTTAGTTTTCAGATTTTGTTCTCTCTCCTGTCATTAAGTTCCCTACATAACTTTTTTCAACAACTCAATTAAGTTTCTCTCCACAATTTTTTACCAGATAACTATCGGATCTCCTCCCTTCCCACCTTCACAAAATGTATAAGGGAAAGGTGAAAGAGTTAGTGTATCGACATTAACAAAATTGTTTCCAATGAATCCTCTTTTGTTGGTGAAATCTCTTTTCATTGTTGACGGTGGAAAAAAAGATACAGAAGTTGATATAGGGAAAAGAAAAAAGTGCGGGGAATTTCTCAGTAATTTTTTTACTTTCCGCAGATCAAATTGTTGATTTTTTTTCGATTCTTTGTTGTTCATTCTATATAATACATATGGATTCAAATTTTAATGTATCTAGTTGATTTTGTTTCTTAAACTAATGTATAATGCCTTCGTTGATTTTCAATTTATCTCGTTTATTTTGATTCTTAAATTAGTCTACTTTTGTTTTATGTAATGTGTCATATTCATATATAAGGTGTTGATACATAACCCTGATGTTGTTCAATATTCTATTAGTTTTTATCACATTTAATATAAATATTGTTGATACATAAATACTACCGAATGTATCATTTACATGTTTCAAGTTTTTTAATGTATCATCAATCTTATTCAAATTTGAAAGGTTATATAGCAGTAACAAATTAGTTGTGTGTTATATATCTGCACTCTTTAATATTTGTTCAGTCTTACCCAACTTAGAAAGCGATATATATGTAAATTTACCCAATAATAATCTTGATACATAAATCATAATGTTCTATAACTGGAGCACTATGTATCAAACCCAACAATAGGTATATGATCCATTTTCATTCTTTGAAAAATTAAAATTATATTTATATGATACTTAATAACTACCACACAGTAATGTATAAATCTAAAATCAAACATTTTACTGGCAACTTTTACTTATCTAATGTATTTAATAATAGATTACAATACTTAGCAATGTACTTAATATTTTAAGAATAGTAATGTATCATGAGTAATATATCCTTCCTGTCCACAACGCCCACAAGGTATCTCGTCTAGCTAGTTGAAATCTACTACAATTACATATTTTCGCTTAAGGCAAACAATGTATTTTCTTCCAGCATCAAATTAACACATAGCGACACAATTTTGTAACCATTTTGTAACATCTTTCACTAGATACATTATAATAACCAATGATACAAATTCAACAAAATTCGAGATGGATATATATTAATGTATCACCCACAATTGTTTCTTGATTAAAACAATTAATTTACATATCTTGATTGTTACACTATTATATGTACAATATGCACAATAATAGCCTGATACATTTATACGAATTTGTTATACACACACTTGATTAAAGACGTATTTGATCCATTTCAATTGTTAATCCAAATATTACATGTATCCTATACAATATATTATAATGATACATTTTTATACAAATCATATTCAGATACAAAAAAAATGACCACGTCATAATTCATAGATTCAAAATTACAATATACGGCGTCGTTTACTGCCAATGTATCATGACTTACATTTTAACATCAAAATGACAAAGAAAAAATGTCTTCTTCAACCTTTTGCAACAAAGTCTTAACTTGTCCCATCAATAAATTCTCAATAGATCTAGGAGTAACCAAACATTTGTCTTGATAAAGAATCATTTTTTGGACATTTCTGAATAAGGTGTCTCTAAAATCCCCATAGAAAGATCAACAATTGGGGAATTGTTCTTTATATCGATCTGATTGGTTTCCAGTTCTTTTTCATGATTTCGCCAATAATTTCTTCTCGATTTCATTAATTTCTCTGAACAAGTAATTGAATGACTTTCCAAAATCAAATTAAATAAATGTTAATAAAGGAAAGATGAAAAAAGGGGATAAAAACATACTAGTTGGCAGAGAGATCTTGTTAGCAATGGTAGCAACAACCAAGGTTGTTCAATCAGATTTTTGTGATACATTGACTTCAAATTACTCAACGATTAATTATATTAACGATTTTGAATTAATGATTCAAAATCGTGAATCATTTGTCCAATCATCTACGACAACAGATTTAAGATTCAAGATTTCGAATTGATGGAGAAGACGAAAAAAATGATTTTTGAATATTGTGAAGTTGTTATAGATTGGAATAGATGGATATAAATCAATCTTTGTGATTTGTGGGAAAAGAAAATTTGTATAACGTGATTTGTGGAAAAAAACTGTTATGCGTTATTTTGGGAAAGAAAATCAATTTTATGTTACCATTCCATATTAAGCACAAGAAACAAGTTTATAAGGTATCATATATAATGTATCTGGATGAAATTTATGTATCCGGATGACTAATATTTTAAGGGATTTTTGTAAAATAGAAAAGAGTAGGAATAGAATGTAATTTAGGATCTAACACTATGCTATATAAATCGTCATTATCATAAAAAAACTTTTAGCGGCAAAAAATATATACATTAACAAAGAGTGCTAAATACTTTACTGGCATTAGTTGAATGTCATTGAATTTGATGTCGCTATAGGCTTTAGTGACATTTACAAAGAATACTAATTGACGCAAAAAAATATATGTTTATCGACAATTAAACTAGTGTCATTAATTAAATATTGTTGCTAAAGATCATTTATGGTGTAGTGCGCATGTCAAATGGTTTTGAGTACGCAGATGATTCAAACAAGTTGAAATTGCCTAAATATTAAATTTTATAAGTTATAATATATTGCACCCTAAACTTGGTTTCAAATTTTAACTTTGACCTCCAACTTTCATAGTGTACAAATAGGCACTTTAATTATCCTACCTTTTAATAAATAAACACGCGAGTCCTATTTGTTAAAGTGTCTATTTGTGCACTATGAAAGTTGGAGGTCAAAGTTAAAATTTGAAGTCAAGTTAAGGGTCTAATATATGTATTATGCCTTTATGTTTCTTCTGAACGTGTACGGTTAAGTAACCGAGATTTAAATCCAAACGTGAATTTAAAATTTTAAGTTTATGAATTCTCGCAATTTTTTGTTGGTCCCTGCACCCGCAATCCATAGGGTTCGATCGCAATTTATTATACATGTACTTCGGTAAATTCTTTCACATATACTAAGTTCTTCCAAATTTATACCATAATAACTTGAGAATATATACAACAACAACAATTATTATTATGTTTCAGTCTCAAACAAATCAAAATTGACGAAAACTAAATTTTTTACAAGTCTGAGAAAAGTTTTCCATTGAGCCATTTTGACAAAATATGGCTTCCTTTTCTCCCTCAACCTCCATTTCTTTAAAAGGAAAAAGAGGATTAATTAATTAGAAAGAAAAAATAATAACATTGGGTTAAAATTGACACACAAAAAAAAAGTTGTGTACAAGCTAAGAACCTAGATGTTATTTTTAGTACAAAAACTTACAATAAACCTAATTTGGTCCGACCTTTTTTCGGACCTACCCACACGCATTAGACTATTCTTTTTCTTCTTTCTTTTTCACTACTAGAAATCAATCAATTTCGACTTACAACCCGTCAAACTCTAATCGAATTTTCGATAAAAAGTCTGTCGAAAACATTCCCGCGAGTGCTTTTTTGATGGTTTTTAGATTGAATTCCCAATTAAAGTCCGTTGGAAACATCTCAATCGAGTGTGTTCTTCGATCGAAACACCTTCGGAAACATCCCGTACAAGTGCTTTTTTGACGGTTTTTCGACCGAATTCCCAATTAAAAGTCCGTTGGAAAAATCCCAATTGAGTGTATTTTCCGATCGAAATACCTTCAAAAACATTCTGTACGAGTACTTTTAAGACGTTTTTTTGATGGAATTTTCAATTAAATGTCCGTCAGAAACATCTCAATCGAGTGCTCCAATCGAAAGACCGTCAGAAACATCCCCTAGAGTGCTTTCCCGACGATCTTTCGACCAAATTCCCATCCAAAAAAACATCTCAGACGGGTGCTTTTTTGACGGAATTTTCAATTAGAAGTCCGTCAGAAACATCTCAATCGAGTGCTCCAATCGAAAGACCGTCAGAAACATCCCCCAGAGTGCTTTCCCGACGATCTATCGACCGAATTCCCATCCAAAAAAACATTTCAGGCGTGTGCTTTTTTGACGGATTTTCGATTGATACGCGATCGAAAAATTGATTGATTATTGTGTTTTTTTTTGGTTAGTTATAACCAAATAGCTTTGGCATCAATGAGCATTTGTTTGAGTGAACCATCAACTTGTAAGGATATAACATCCTTACATGATCCAACATATTTTCCACCAATAAAAACAGCAGGAACACATGGATTACAACCTAAACTTCTCAATGCCCACTCCATTTCTTTCCCTTTTGGATCTTCATCAAGTTCATGAATTGCTGGACTTGCTCCAATATCATAAAATAGTGCTTTAATACTATGACACATAAAACATGAACTCTTTGTGAAAATTACTGCTGCCTTCTTTGATGCCAACTCTCCTATTCTATCCATAGCTAACTCGATATCGATCGATACAAATAATTAATTGATATGTATGACCAAAATTATCAGAGAAAATTATGAAGAAAATATTGATTGATGATCACTAGTGTTATAAACTTTGTGTGGTAGATGGTGATGATATTTTGAGGTTATTTATAGAGATTTTTTACATATAGTAGATATGGATTACATTGTTTATCCAGAAAAGGCAAAAAAAAAAAAATTATATTGATGCATAAATGAAAAGGCAATGTTCCTTAAAGATATTTTTCCTTTGGCTAAAGGAAAGAAAAAGTTATAAAGGAAAAAATAAATGTCATACGCCCTTTGAGAACTGAGTTTAACTTATGTACACTAACAATAATATAATCTTTAAATGTTTTGATGATGAAAAATTTTATTACCTTTCATTTTTAAAAAAAAAAAAAATTGAAATGAGCTATATGAATTTTCACCGCTAATTTATAGCTAAATATTGTGTATAACCTGGTTCTTTTTTTATAATTTTGTTTAGCTGTGTAACTTGTCTATTGTAATTTGAATTTTATTAACTCAATATCTCTTCATTTGAAAATTACACTATGCATATAGGTCAATTTCTTTTCTTTTTTTAAATTGTATATATACTATTATCCCTTGGTGTATATTATTTTTTTAGCTAAGAGTTTCTTTAGTGAATACTCTAATTCGACCAATTAGTTTATAGTGAGATCATTTAAAAGACATATGTTACCAATTACAAAATATTAAATATGCACTCATATAGAGTAAACTATTTTCCATTTCGAGTGTACATTAAACTAATTAATTCTCTGGATAATGACCCCTTAATGGTATGAAAAGTTGATAGACCATAACGATCCCGTAGAATGTTAGGATCGAATCTATACACACACTTGATGAATTAAGAACACAAGAACTTTTCAGAGAAAGAAATGAGAGATCTAGAGAGAGAAACCAATGTCTCGTGGTAATACCCGTGAGTAAACTTCCATGGCGATGGGTATATATATTAATAATTCAGAGTATTTTAGAATGCAGAGAATAAATATTGCAGCCTAATCAGTACATCAAATATTAATCAGGCTCCACGAACTAACATAGAATTCCTACAACTTATTATATTAAAGGCAAAGATATTATTCCTTAAATCTTTTCTTGAAATTTTTTTTTGTTTAGTGGGAAAATTAAAGCACTTCTAATTTTGGAGATCTAGAAACTAACACAGTACGTAATAGATACTTTAATGATGTGTAAAGACAATGCTACTGGTACAGGAGATGTATAGGAATATCGAATAAAAATAATATATATATATATATGAAAAAAATTCTTTAATAATTGGTAATCTAAAAGATAATTAGAAGTAATTGCTCATAATGTTGGCTTAACTATATATATATGAAAAAAATTCTTTAATAATTGGTAATCTAAAAGATAATTAGAAGTAATTGCTCTTGGCTTAACTTAAAGAGATCAACTTATATCGACGGAGTGGATAAGAAAATTACACCGTCAGTTCATTTATAGAAATACCTATTCTCTTTCTCTAACTTAAATACGAATGATTAAAAAAAAAAATTGTTCATAGCATTAGATCAACGTAATGTTAATGTTGTATTATTAGTTATTTGAAATAATAATATGAAACTAAACAAAACATTCATGGTTAATGTGTATTAGGTTAAAGCATTATTGATATGTTGAAAAATTAAACAAAATCAACGTAATGTTATAGCAATATGATTATTATTGGTAGAGAACTTAGAGGATCTTCAGATGATGTGGAAAAAGATAAGAGCTTATCCAATATTTTTTGTTTTTATAACCTTGAGATTCAATATTCTTTGATCACTAGGGTCTGAGATGTGCCTCAATTTTAACCAAGTTGAGTACTCTTTTATTCTATTATATTTCCTTTTTTATTATTCTTATCGAATATCAAAACAAATCATGAAAATTATTTACTGTCAAGAGTTTACCGTTGACCTAAACACATTACGGTAAAATATTCATGTCTATGTACTCCTTGCATTTAAAGTTTCCTCTTCTACCTCAATCATCATTAGCATCGTTAGCACTTGGTAGTGTATACAAATAAAGTTGTTAAATAGAATATATTATTAATACTTACAGTTATAATTTTTGAATTAGTAATGCTTACATCAGTTATACATAGCTTATTTCATTTCTAATCCTTTGATTAATCTGATGTATTAAAAATAGCATGTCTCATAAAAATATTTATTTCTAAAATACCCTTCATAATTATGATGAAAAAGACGTAAAAAAAAATATTATAAGGGGCAATAGAGTCTTTTACCGTGCTAAAACATGCATTAGCAACACGTAGAAGTCTATACACAATAGAGTACATAGCATGAAAAAATGTACCAAACAAGATATGACTAATACACAGAGTTACGCATGCATTATTTTTGTTAATATACTCTACCAAGCAATCCCTTAGTTCTAAAGAAACTAACAGAGATTTATATAGATCAAAACTAAGGGACAGAGAGTATCTTGTGGTGATAGAGATGCATCTTAATTTGCTTCATCTCTTACTCTACTGAAAAGTCTCTGGCGCAGAAAGCATCCCGCGTTTAAGCAGGGTGGGGGTAGGGCCGCAACCTAATTGGTCCAAATAATGACAAATTCCTATATTTGGATAAGTTGCAACTTCATACCATTGATAAAATGAGACAATGAGGAGATACTTCAATTTTAAAGAAGAAAACATTAAGCTATTTATTGTTGATAAATATACAGAAATTACCAGGAAAGCATTAAATAAGGCTTGATGTTTACATTAACTTCACTGGCCAACTTCCCCGACTCAACAGTTGCATATTCGGGATTGAAGAAGTACCAGATGCTGCACTATGAGAAGGGATCCGCCTTGGATCCTGTAACAAATCCGGGTTGTTACTCTGGCGATGAAATAGGAGCCAAAGTAAGGGAAGATCCCGACATCTAAGGGGCATTCGGTATATCAGGAAGAGAAGAAGCTGATGGACTATATCGTACTGTTCCCATAGGATGATCGAATTTACATGTGCCACCAAATTTGCAGAATCCTCTTTGCATGTAAAAGGAACAAGACTGCACCCCCTGCTTTCAGAATGAAATTTAGTCGAGTATCCAAACAGGTAACGAGTTACACACACAGCAATACTACAGACTCAAGAAAGATCATATAACAAGATGCTATCTTCTAGCTCAAATATGTAAAAGTTTCCGTAAAGGTTCAGATATGTTAAAACTCAGCTAGACAAAGGAGGATATAAGAAATACATAAAATGTACACCGATAATGAAACCTTTGAAGCCTGCATTCATAAGCCAGAGAAAAACAACACAGTAACCCTTTTAATAGTTATACAAGCAGACGAGTGTACTAGAAACTACAAGGATAATTAAAAAAACAGCCTGAAAGAAAGGAGAGGAATTTACACTTCTTCCAAGAAAGAAACAGAAAGAAGTATTCTTGTATCAGACTTAAGATGATAACAAGCATGCTTGCTTATACTGGAACAATCCAAGGAGACTGACATCTCTAGTGTTCTGAAGTTGGAAGATATGCTGCCATCATTTTGGCATTTGAAAATTAGACAATTGCAAAATTTCAACTGTTTGTAATCTGTAGGGACAGGCATTAACGCTAGATATCGTGACATTTTCAAATTGTAACAAATTATGTTTTCATTTCATGGGACTGATAACTAACAGCAGCCTAATAAGTCATAGGGTCCAGCTATAATTTCAAACGCAAGTTTGAACAGAGACTGCTGCAGAACAGATAAGAGAAGTCAGACTGCCCTTTTGCAGTTTCTCTACATGGCACAGAGCATGCAATAGGCAAGTATCTCCATAGCTCCAAGAAGAACCGTGAATATAGATTCAATAAACTAATACTTCTTGAATTCGGTAAACAACCAAGCGGAAGGCAAGCAAAGGACAGCATGCATACAAAATCTTCCAAATCACAATGCATCCAGCAGCATAATAAGTCTTGACATGATCTCAATTTTCAGGCAGGACCAGATGAACAACAATGTCCATCACAGAGTATCCATATTGGATTATTAATTAGTGATGCCAAGTCAAACAAAAGGGAGAACGAAGGATATTGGTCATACCGGACGCAAAGGAAGGCCTAAGGGACTGAAAGTACAATCTGTCTTTGATGCAATCCAGTCAGCAGGATGATGAAATTTACAGGACGATCCAAATTTACAGTCCCCAGTTTTCATGTAATATTGACATACTGGTTGGCCTGGTCTTTCTGGAAAACGATTTTCTCTCAGTGCACTGCTTGAAGGGCCAGCAGCAGAGTGTAACGGAGAGTAAGGTGCTGCAAAGGCAGCCGTAGAAGATGCTAGTTGTGGCATCCCATAAATAGTTGCCATCCCAGCAGAGGGTTGAGCACCAGGAGAAAGTGCAGGACTCACTGGTCCCTGCAAAAAAGCAAATTAATCACCCCATAAGATTATTATTTAAGTCATATCAGAATGTTGATTGAGAGAATATCTCTATCATTACCGAGTAAGTGCTCCAGTTCTGAATGGTCACCACTCCTGGGTGAAGCAAAACTGGACCATAAGTACCAGGTACATAAGGACCGGGTAAGAGTTGAGGTCCTGCTACTCTAGAGCTAGTTGATGTACTGTTATATTCTTCAGGAGGAACAGGAAGAGAAGGCGATGTTGGATAAAATGGACGTGCAGTCACTGGCGCTGATACCTCAGCATGGTCAGGATGATGGAATTTACATGTTATACCAAATTTGCATTGCCCCGTTTTCAAATAATAGGAGCATTCTCTTTCCTCCTGTTGCAATTGATGAAGTTCAAGAGATCTTAGATAACCTTATTGGTAGAAAACACAAACGCATACATACATGATACGACACAACAGATCAATTACCGGATGTAATGGGTATCCATAAACATTTAGTGATATATTGCTCAACGATCCACCTAAGTTTCTTGGATGGTGGAACTTGCATGATGCACCAAATTTACAGGTTGCTGTTCTTAGATAGTACTGCAAACAGAAATTATCCATTCATCACACATTAAATCAATATTCTATCCACATAATGAAAAGAAAAAACAGAAATGAAGGACACACATACTTGATCAAACACGAACAATCTCAGGAAGA